ATAGTTTTACACTGCGCCAATCCGAAAAGTGTTGATTTACGCTCACTTCCATGACAAGACGATCCTTTATGTAATTACCATTACCTGAACATACAAATACTTATTACCATCCCTTCGTGCTTACACACCCCTCAAGCGGTGTTGGTTAACCAAATAACCCCCTATTATATACTAACAAAGAATAATACATTTCTAGTTTTTATTACTTCCACTATTTTTCTGCTGTTTCATTTCGTTAATTCTGTTTTAAGTGGCTACGTCTGCTTGTACAAAGGCACGGATTTATTTCAGTGTTCTATATATATATATATCTATCTATGCATGTACGTTATTTTATTAAAAGCTAATTGCTGAAAGAGCATTAGAGGGAAGGAGCTTGCCAGAACAAAAAAAAAAGCTGCCCGCCGTTCGTTTCAACTTCGACCGATTCGACGTCGCGGACTCGATTAGTGCTAAACCTGGGTTCTAGAGATCCTAGAGCCTGATACAGGTAAAAAATAGGCGAACGATGCAACGAAATGGCTATAATAAAAATAAATAGTTCTCCGAGATCTGGTGCCGACCTTCCCATTGATGGCAATGAGACATACGCCCAGAGTGAAAATGATGATCGACGCACACAGCAAGGCAGAAAGGGAAAGCTCGCCGCTGCTCCGATTCTGTTACACGGATGCCCTCTTGAAGCGCCGGGATTGTAGTTCGAGCCGATGAGGACGAAACAAATCCCATCATTGGCTAATTCGCAAAGAGAGCGCCTTGGATCATATTGAAATATTTAGAAGAACAAAGAGATTGACAGAGAAATGAGGTCTAATGGAGGAATAGGGTGGTACCGGAACTTAATCAAAACCGCCCACAGAGGAGACTGTGACGGCTAATGCAGCGGTCCGATATTGTTCGTGCTAATGGGTTAACCATCGCGGGAATATGCCAGGCGAGGCAAACATTTAGACATATAATTGAAAACTATATCCATAACTTTCTTGTGCAAGTAAAAAAAAACGAGAAAGATAGAGAGCATTAGCATTTTTGCTACGACTAGTAACTGTGATGATGTTCTAAATATGATGTAAGAGGTCTTGTGTTATTTGTACTAAAACTTGAGCGGTATAACTTCGAAGTTAAATAAATCAAAATGGATTTTCTATATAGTAGATTGTCGCTATATAGTAGAGGTGAACTATGTATCGATGAACTGATGCTTCCTTTAAATTGTCAAAGACCCATTGCTTTACCTTGTACGCCAAAGCAAATGTAACGGAAATGCCTCAGAATGCCTCCAAACGAGTACACGTCACAAACGCAACGAGCAATAAACGTTCTGCAAAATGTATCGGTGTCGCTGAAATGGTCTGAGATTTCAGAGCAATCCTTTGCACAACCATAATACTTTACGCAAACGACCAATTGTTTTCATAAAATAAACACAAAAACAAGTAAAGCCTCTCATAGGTCACAGTTACTTTAAGCCCTGTTGGAACTAGATAGATAATCGATAACACATTGCTATATGGAGCATCACAAATACGGTCAAGGTTCTGAACAAAGAAATTGTTTTCCCTAGAAATAGTCAAATATATGTCGTTCCAACGGTCTTGTTTACAGAGGCCATAATCAAGAGAGATTGTTGATGGATGCCCGGACAAAGAGGAGACATAGTTCTATAAAAAGGCCTTATGTGCTTCATTTGACAGGGTGTGTATAGACACGCTTTCGGCCACAAATCGCAATTACGCCACTAATATTTAAGCGACACGGGCTTTCATTTAATGGCGCGACCAACGCGGCGACCAATAAAATACTTGCAGTAGCTGTTTTACTTATGAGACGTTGAAATTGCAGTAGTATGCGGCCTTACGGTGCCCAGCATTTGTCTATTTTCATACGCAAACGGACGAATAGCAGCTTACGTTATGTAACAACGATCAATAATTCATGGATGCTTTGCCCTCGAGGCTTGAGGGTGTTAACGTATTAAACGTTACGTCAACGATTGCGTTTCAGATTCGGAAAATCTAACGAGAATCCTGAAAGAGAGATCGATATACATGAGGACACATGCATTTAGTTATGGAACGTAAAGAAAAGATGGCGAAGACGAATCGTAACCGTACTATGTGTTACTTTGCGCCGCTTTCTTAGACGAAAAGATAATTTCGAATACTTCGGTGTTTTTCTTCTACACGTGGATAACATTCGCTTTGTTTCGTGCGGCGCATCTTACAGGAAACTTGCGGTGTTTATAATATCGTTAGAATTATTCATGTTTCAGTAACGGTTGCAATCTGAGCGCAAAGAACTTTCTTTACGTCTGCAACTTAAAAAACTTCGCCAGTTTAGCAATAAACACTGCAACGGCAGTGTCGGCACTATCTGCGTACTTAGCTTCGAAGTATTATTACTAGCGAAGTGATAAGGTGTACCTTTTCCTGGTACGAACAGTTAATTTTGTGCGCTTGTGTCGTTGGCCCTCAGATACATTCTGAATGTCTCTGACACATTTTGCTTATCGAGCACGAAGTTGAGTTCGAAGAAAGCCTTTTTGACTGCTCAGAAATAGCAACTTCAAATATTCTGAAGGTTTAGGTACTTCCGAATCTGTTCAGTAGATGTTGATTATACGATGCGTGCTCCTGTGAGGTGACTCAGCTATATAATCGATTTATCTGCATTTTATGATGTGATATTGCGAGCACCAACAATTGTAAAAGCAAGAAATTTTACGGAATACATTTTAGGTCGTTAAGTCGGCAATGAGTCATTTGTGGTACAAAGTTGATGATTCCATCTCGCCTCAACAGGCGTCTGGGTTTCACATGTTCTTTTCTGTGGTTGCTCTCTTAAACATATACAAAAGCAGCCGCGTAAAGAAAACGCAGTTAAACATTGAACAGCACGGACCAGTCCTGGGGTAGGCCACAGCATCGAATAGGATCATTATTAATTAGCAGAGTCAGCGCAGAGGGGATGAAAATGGGTCGAAATCTGAAAAATAGATTATTCAATCGAATGATTTCCGATAAAAATTCGCAAACCACTGACACAAATCTGGCAATTGTGATGCTGACGTCATCTGAAGTCGATTTCGATTTCGACTTCGAAGGGAATGTTTTCTCGAGCCTTGGCCAGACTGCTCGATGCATATTACGGTTTTGATCCTCGGGCGCGAGATTCCTTATCTGCCACTCGTTAGTCTATTGATGTCCCATCAGCATAAGCCTTTACAAGTACTTTACATTCGTGAGATCGGTATTTACATACAAAACATTTCCGCTCTACAATCGAAGTCTATAGCACCTAGTATAAACATAACACTTACCGAGCCGAGGCGGGTACACTTCGCATCATACCATAAGCAACTGGAAAACTCATGCCGAAACATAACGTTGTTAAGATTATGTAGTTGTTTTTTTATCGCTGTTATATTCTCGATGTGTCATGTCAGAATAATCAATGGTACTGGGGAGAGCAACTGACTGGTGCAAGAGCCCAGGGAAAAGGTGGCCAGACGGACAGATGCGTATCGAAACAGCTGTCTCAACAGGGTAGCACAGTCAAGACTTCGTGTACTGAAAACACTGGCCAAGAAGAAGAAGAAAATGGCGGGAAGTAGAGATCTGCTTATATGATATTTGTGGCGTAGAGATCTGGTGGTGACTCGGAGGTTAGTGAAGGAGGACCGAGAACTATAAACATGTAATCTACTACAGACTGAATGCTCGGTAGCTTGGTGCAATCAAATCATGGCTCTGTGTCGGTTCTCTATTAACGTTTGGAATCATGCACGTGATCATAAAAACGTTGTATTGAAACCTGTGACTATAATAAATTGGTGTACTGTGGCCTTTATTCGCAGAATTGAATACGCTTTACACGATGTTTATGTTGCAGCAGTAGCGATAATACCTGTAGGAAGTTAGAAATGTCTACTGAGCATTTCAGCATCATGAATTCCCTATGCAACTTAAGGTCAGTTGTCCTGTTTTGGTTCCTTTCTAACATGTCGACATAATATGATTAATTTTAATAAATAATTCACCTAGAAATAGGAGAATCTGACTTCGTACGAAAACGACGTGAATAAGAATTATCACACGAAGTACTTATAACTTCTGCAAGATTAGATCTCGTTGGAGTTATTCTCGCGGTACATCTCACAAGCTGAACTTGCGGTTCTTCGAAGTGGCGACTGCTTATTCAGCCTCGGCTAGAATACGTAGACAACCATACACTTCAACTGGATTTAGTCCCCAATAATGCTATATACTGTACCTGTCAAAAAAGAAAGAAAATTTGACATAGTTTTTGTCGTCACACGTTCTGGCGCTAAATTCTATTGTTTACAAGAGAATGATTAGGTTGTGCCGAAAAGCTATTTAGACCCAGTTAGAAAAATTTCATTTGTCACCAATCGGTATGATTCCGTATCGGCACGCGTTACACTTGAGGGCTTAATAGATAAGTTATGATTTAATCTCATGACTCAGACTTCAGCTATTAACTATATTTATTTGGCTTTGCTGGCCAACTAGGCATATTACTGAAAGAAAAAAATCGGAATATATGAAAAGTATTTTCGGTCTCAGTTAATTATATGGCTTCGTTACCGCTGGTATTTAGGCTTTTAAATAAGTGTCGGAAAAAGGTGTGTTTCAAGTACATGTGATATAAGCTAATTTGGGCACATTTGTAAAATCAAGCGCGTTTCAATTTAATTTCGTTTTCAAAGGATGCGGACATAACCGATAAATTCGATATACGCGATGCAAAGGTTATGAGATCATCTGAAGGCTACTTAAAATTAAGCCAGTAAATGCCTTTAGCCATGTAGTAGCCGCCTGGTTAAACAATTTCTTTTTGGTTCGCTTCTAAAGATAGGAACGGCCCACAGGGGTTTTCTGATAGTATGTGAAAGCAATACATTTTAGAAATAAACTGCATAAATAATCTCAGATAATTTAGACTTTACTTCATTTTTAAATAAAACTTTTATACAAAGAAACAAAGCACAACCGGCCCGTCATCAAGGGGTCCTTTGAAAAAATATTTTTCAGGTGTGACGATGCACAACAACGATCAGATTCAGGATCAACGATCCCAGGACGAGTCAGGATACACTCTTGCCGAGTGAGCCATTTGCAAACTTGTCTCTCCCCTTTCCATGTTACCCTGCTTGCCCCTGGGCCCCCTCTTTCTATCCGTGTTGAATTATCTTGTCTTATGCCCTCTTGTCGTATACCCGCATCCACATCCTGTTTCTTGTTGTTGAGCTCTATGAAAATAAACCGCAAAAAATATTGTCCTTCCTCGAGTAGAAGTAATCCTCGAAGAGATGAAACCGAGTTAGTTCCCCTGCCTGCTCTTGCAGTCACGGGGCCAAGTACTGACCCCAATCTGACTTACATCTACCCGAATTCCGTCACGTATCCGTGGCGTTCGTGTGATCTATTCTGCGAACTTTTTTTTTAAATCACGTGTTGTCGTACTGCTCGAACCTCGTCGGTTGACCCGCCTCCTCGCTCGTAGCGCCCTCTTCGTTTTGGTCGACGGTGCTTAGCTTTCCTCCGCAGCAGACATCGTACCCTGGCTTGGTCCTTGGAACGGGACCCTTCCCCCGCGGCTGAGCTGCGAGGGCAACTCCGAGGGCAGGCTGCACGTGAGAATGCGTGCACGGCCGGTTTCCAACATGTTGATCAACAGCAGTGTTCGCTGAACCATGTGATGTGACGAGGTATGTGTGACGATGAATGAGCGAGCAGAATGCCCCTCGTGACAAAGAGCGCGACAATGATAACGCGACGAATATTGCAGTTCCTATAAAAATGATTGTATCGCAGTCGGCGATTAAACTTTCTTTCAAATCAGTTTCAATTAAACAAACAGGGGCAAAAGTGTGTAGTGAAAATTTGGTTTGAAAGTTTAAAATTGCGGTATTTCTGATGGCTACAGCATCAAACCGTAGTTTGTTATCACAAATGTTCGGAGGGCCGTGGCTAGCTAGGAATAAGGAACAAATATTGGTTACTTTAATTCTTTAAAATTAACGAGTGCTAGTGGTCTATTTAATTGTGATTGATTGATTGGTCAGGCGCAATGGTGACTCAATTTAACCATACCACGTTCTTAGAAAAAAGGCATCGACTGTACTCGCCGAAAGGTGTATGCTGTTTTAATGTTCACATAGCTATGAACCATCTTCGGTTAAATCGCCTTGTCTTCATAGAGGGCTTTCAATAGGCTCCCCCCTTCCCCTTATTTTTAAATAAATTTATACGTTTCTTAAAAACGAAAAATTTCAAGAGAATTTACCTTTCATGCAATATCCCACAAAACTATGTGAGCATGCTATAAATTGCCCAAATCAACGATGCAAAGGATTTTTTAAATGTTATTATAAATTATCTTACTAAAGTAATCGTCGCAAGAAGTGCCACACGATAATTTCACGAATTCACAATTTCAGTAGGCCTGCGCCGTCCTGCTTCGTAATTTTCTGAAGATTAAACAATCTTTTATTTCGTTTTGTTCCTCAGCCATTAACGTTGGAAACGCTCGTGGTTAAAAACTTTGCATTCTATCATAACATCCTTGCGAGACCAGAAGGGAGAAACGCTCCAGGGAATGGTCAGCTGTTGTGGCAAATTCCGAAACAGCCGCTGCTTCATGGGCCGTGGCTAATTCGCAAACAGTTCCTATGTTTGCAAAACAGAACTTTTACGTTCTGGGATTATCCCATACATTGTACTAAATTCAATGTTGTGACGGTTACAAAAAATGTAAGTTTCGCAAAGAACAGTTATCCAAAGAGGGCGCCGTAACCAACAAAAGTGCGCCAAAATCAAGTGGCTAGCGTCGCTCATGTTTAAACCTTTGCTCGATCTCTGGGGGCCTATCCCTAAAGGCCTCTGTTAAGCGCCGTATCATCAAGTGAATTTCCTACATTTTCTGCATTTATATGTGTATGACTAACTGCTATGCCAAACAATGGCAACTAGCTCCGCTCCGTGGGAGAGATGTTGTTTAGATTGATTTGTCCGCCTAAAGTTTGCGCCTGTATTGTAATTAACTCTAGGGTCCCCGTGTGGCATTATTGACCCTCGGAGCCCTTCGCCCTATACGTAGACCTCTAATTTAATCCCGAGAGCGCTCTGAACCCCCTTAGTATGAAACGCCCATATTTCCCCGAAGTCAGATTCAGTCTTTTCTGATGCCGTCAAGCTGTTTAAGGAAAATATGTTTGAATCGTACAGTATTAATAAAAATTGAATGCAGCCTCTGTAGAATGCGACAAACCCTGCACTCCCCCCAGCGTCGCAATGAAATTATGTTTTTTGCAAGTTTCTAAGTGCCAGAAGCTCGTTTCCTTTTTTTTGACCACTACCTAAGTACGTAAGAAAGCTGGTTACGAAATAAATTCGAAGGTTACCGTCTGTGAAATTAGAAAGAATGTTAACATTTAACAACGGCTTAGGCAGTCATTTTTATGACAGGCTACGATTACGTGTTGTTGTTTAGTCGCAAATGATCTGTGTGTGAATTTTTTGGCACTACTTCTTAATTCAAATCCTTAGTAATATCTATGTAATGCAGTGTTCGAGATTCAAAACCTAAGAATTTTAGAATCCATTCTCGTTAATGCTCAGCAAAAATGCTTTGAATCAATTTTTCCTCTAAGCCTACTTGCTCAGGCTTTCGAGAGATGGTTAAAGTATATCTCTTTGCCGACGTACTGTTACATTCTCACCATTTCCAAGAGACGTCCCAGAAACTAGAGCTGTCTAAAAGACTCTACTAGCACTATCCCCTCAAAAGGCTATCATTTTACATAACTAAGGTAGATTCACTGATCGAATATTGCAGACCACAAGTTCATCATCTGACCACCACTGTTTCGCTGATTTCATCTTGTGCCCGCTTGATCTTCGCATAGTATGTTCACCACCTAGTTTTGGTTTAATTAGGCAACAGGGTATTTCCCCCATACGTTGGTAATACCCCACAAAAAGTGCTTCGCATCGCAGTCATCCTTCACGACCTGGAAATTCTGCCGTACGCAATAGAAACGACAAAAATGACGGCCAATTTTTAGGCTGTTTCCCAATTTTGCGTTTACATTGCAAAAACCGAAAGGTTTGCTGTCGTTCAACGTACACTGTTTCTTGTGTATTCAGTGTTTGACGTGGCTTTCTATATTCGGTAGGCGTACATCAATCACACGGGCTAAACCGAAACTGCGTCATTAACTATTCTGCCTTTCGTAGCTGCTGTTGCTGATTTACGTTGGCCGTGTTGTCAGTATCGGCTCGTGTTTAACGAAGTATTTGTATGGCATTCGTTGCATCGTTAATTAAAGACTATGTTTCAATACCGTCGTCCACTCCATGTACGAAGAGGACCCCTGCAACGACGGAGCAGAAATTTTATGGACAAAAAATATAATGTTTTCCGCTCAATTTTAGATAATTGATTCGTCCGTTGAAATAATAAACTGTTAATTCAATTTTGGCCGATCCGCTGTTTGGGTGTTTGTTTCGATTTGACTTGTGCTTAATTGTGCATCGATAGTCGATAGGAATACGCACGTAAACGCAAACGTACAGTCTTCAGTGTTACAACAGTCGAGTGAAACACTTCTGCAATCAAGAAAAAAAGAAAATCAAGACACGACAGCATTGGTGTGGTCAGTAAACGTTCGTCGACCGCAGGCTGCCTCGTCGTCTGCTCCATATAGAGTTGGCAAGCAGACCACGCCAGCATTGGCAGACACAATAGTCAGCTCGAATAACCGCTTACCTCAACAGCCAGATATGCAGCACCTTAAGCAACTCAGCAAACCATTCATCGGGGGAGGCAAACAAAAGGATAAGTGAGTCTCTATGTCGAGGCATGGCCTAGGCTTTGAAATAAGCACACAAGCATTTTGTTTACCTTGTCTTTGCTTGTTTACTAATCGTCTTTTTGTTGTTCCGTCTGCTGTTGTAGTCTCCCTGAATGTTCAATTATTGTAAATAGTCTACTACGAACATATCTCAGATCGCGAGCTTCATCTGTGAGGCTGCGTCGATCCTCAGACGATGTGTGAAGATCTGCTAAGTTGTCGAATACGTAGGAATGGTCTCCAATTGCTTATCAACTGCAATATACTGAAACAGGTTTCACGAAAAAGTAGTCTGTATCGCTTAGTTCAATTTAATCTGCTTCTCAAGAACACTGGCCTTCTATGAGACGCTCAAACGTCAGATAGGTACGTGCATATTGTCCTCTGTAGCAAAGCATCCTAAGTCAAATCTCTCTTTATCTTTGAAAAAATAATCTTTAAAGTTCTCTACCTTTGCCTTTGTTTTTTCTTTATGACACTCTAGACGGTAAATGCTGTCTTCTGATTTCTTTTAACAAAACAAAATGGCCTGAAGTGTAAAGGTCCTAATTTAATACGCCCCTAGGAAACTTGACTGAGTTGTTCAACGGCGACGAATACGCCTTTTATGTCACTGATTTGCTGCGCTGAAAGTTGATTTTTGCCTTTTGTCTGATGATCTTATTATTATTAATAGTGGCCATAAACTCAGGGAATCACTTTATACTGTATCACAAAATCTGGCTTGAAACTTTGAGTCGTTTTTCTTCACAAGTTTCGCAATTTTACGAAGAAGTTTTCCGAGTTTGTTCAGTTATTTCTATATGGAAATGTCTAATATATATACATATATATATATATTCTCTTTAACTTCTATAATTAAACAAAAACAAAGGGGTGCATGTCACACAATTAATAAAAAAGAAAACTCGATTCACTATGGCGAAAAGTTTCTAAGTTTTTTTTTTAAATGTAATTATTACTTATTGTACCGTCGGAGTCACAGAATGAAACATGCAACTAAGCAGTACAGTCACGAGATGACCCATTAAAGTATTCAAAAAAAAAAAAACATAGAAACGCGTTCTTTTCAATTAGAGCCGTTTAAAACGATAATGATCTACAAGTAAGCATTGATTGCTATTGCTGCATGAATCGGCAATCGTACATTCATACTATATGTTCAAATACCTCATGTAATAGCATTTATTTTAAGTATAAAATTAATTTGCCTCATATCGTACTAATTGTGTGTTAACGCTGGTATCCACCAATTGTATGTATAATTTAGATGGATAAGTTAAGCAACTTATCATCAAAAAAGCTACTACCAACGCAGATTTGCATTTGGGGGAAGAAGGCGTAGGGGGTTAATAAGTAGCGTAGCGCATTCGTAAAGGGTTTGCTTTTGTATTGAACAACGACATGATGAAGGAGGGAAAAATGCTTACGGTAAGCTACATGGAAGTGCGCAAAACTTTGGATTATGGATGATATCTTCTTTATGGGAGGAACACAGCCTAACCTGTACAGTTTCTAGCACAAAATCGTAAAGATATGCTTGGCGGTCGGGAATCACCCGATCCTGGCTATACGTAATGACGAGCAAGTCTCGTAGAAATCTGCCGTTTAAAGACACTATTGCATCATCTTACTTTTCCTCCTTCCCGCTTAGAAGTTCGTTGGTGAGGTGATGAATCATCCAGAGAAGCTTGCTTAGCTTGATGGCCTTCTGGATTAGATGCAAAAGGGAATTGGAGCGCAATGGCTGGCCTAATAAATCAACTATGCAAAACTCAAGGACCCCAAGGCCACTGATAGTCGATTCTTTTGCAGCAGTGTTCACTGCGAAAGCAGATCAGTAAGAATGCTGAGAGGGGCAAATATTGCTTAGCCTAAGGGGTCCCGCAAGGTTCGGGCATAGCTGGACATAGGGTGTTAGTCGTTTTTGGGGTTGCCGTAGAAGGGCCAGACGACGTTTTGGGCGGTGGAGAGTCTAAAGAGGTCTAGTATCGTCGTCGAGCATTCCTGAGCCGGTCTGACAAATCTATGAGGGACCTAGAGTCCATCTGGGTGTTACAGGTATCCATACGTGACTGCTCTTCGGTTACAGGCTAAGCCTCAAGTGAAGACTGCCATCTGTCGGATGAACCGGAAAAGTTGGCACATATTAAGATAAAAAGTGGGAAAAACGGTAGGGGGAGGCCGTTTATATGAAATAGACTTACTAAAGTATGATGGCAATGTATCTAGGCAGACGTCTTCCGAGCAAATTCAATTGTTGCCCTGTTCGCCGCGTATCAAGCCGGATACTAGCTCTACTGGACAACTGAACAAATCCGGTTTCTCCGCACCAACAACCGGCGCCACAACGCTCAGATAGTCAGACTGACGAAAGAAATTGCGTAAAACTGTTTATGTTGTAGAGCAAGGAAGCCCCTTGGCAGGTTTGGAGTGGCCTGACGCGTACTGAATGGGACCAACGCCTTTGTATCTCTGCCTTAAAAGATTCAATTGCAGAAAACATTTGCCTTACTCTGGTGTTTGATAAAGACGCATATATTCTTATACGGTATCGGGTTATTCAAATATATATATATATATATTCAACTATATAAATCTAAGGAGTTGAACTGGATTAAGCCAGAGAGAAACAGTCCGTATAGTCTCATCACTGTTGTTCTTCTCAAAATCCGTTGGGCTTTGCTTTCATGTTAGGTACATACATCACTATCACATGTAGTTGTGTTATAATGGCGACAACGATAAGTGTAACGTTCAAAATCCAAATGACTGAATGACGATAGTAGGGTAATTTTTAAGTATGATGCCATCCTGTTTATCTTGAAGATGTAAGTTCGGAAAGCATCGAAATGAAATTTTGACAAGTAATCATTTTCGATATGCGATGATTGTGTCTTCAAGTATGCCTTTAAGTTAAACGTTGGGTTTGTGTATTAACGTGAAAAAGTTATCTGTTGTTTTGGAAAATTTACATTTTTTAAGAGCGATTCTTGCCTTCGAATCACCTTTGAATACTTGGATATTTTGATATAATTCACAAAATACCATCCAAATACAGGTGAACGGTGAAATGGGTCGGTGGAACTTCTAGTGCGTAGCTCAAATGAATACACGTAAATTTAGTTTCTCGTGCGTCTGCGCGAACCTATTCATGATTAGCTGGAAAAAAAAAAACGTAATTATAATTTTGACGTTGCGTGTAAAGATTAGATGACAACTATAGTCAAAATGTTCATATAAAAAAAATGTCCGTATAAATTATATCTCGATCTATTTCAGAGACGATATGATATCGCTATATAAGCCCGTTTCGCATTTTGGCAGCATTACTCGACTATCACAAATATCATGCTACAGGCTATAAATTTAAAACAAGTCTAGTTTCAACAAACAATCGATATATGTTGCTTGTAGCAATGAGCGTAAAATTAATGTACCTTCACGTCTGGTAAGGAATTACTGGAAGGAATAATGAGAACTGAATTTGATCATCTTTCGCCACTATACACAATGTGGTAAATAAATAAATTTTTTCATTTATGAATTGACGTCTGGAACGTAAATTACGGATAGTTATAATTGTACTGGAGTAGAGTTCGAAGAAAAACCGCAACGAACAACAGACCGCCAATTGAAAACCTAAAGAACTTCGAACTCTATTGGCCAAGAAACTTTAGCATACGTATTGTAGACATACATACATTTCTATAGCTGGTATATTTTATAGGACCATAAATTTTGGCTGTTACAATTGGCCACATCAGGTTCTTATGGCTAGGCCAAGCATCTAACTAACTAATAATCGTGTGTCTCTTTCATAAATCATATAATAGCAGCTTCTAAAGTTCATAATTGCTCTCTGGCTGACCATTTCCCTAAGCTGGTTACTGCCTGAGCTATGCAGGATGTGGGTGGTAAAAAAGACGATATATATATATATATATATATATATATATATATATACAGTAAAAGATATCTAGACAAAGAAACAGTGACTATAACAGAGAAATACCTGCATGAACGATTCCGATTAGTGGACTACTTTTGATATCTTCCTAACGCATGTAGGATACGTTCAGCTGATAGCTGAAGCTATGTCATGTCTTCCGTGTAAAAAGAATCTCTGAATTTCCTAAATAATTCACTGATGCTATTTGTCACAATCATTGGTGGCAATGCAATGTTAGACACAGGGCAGCATATGCTCCGCTGAAAGTAAAGGATTAGAATGCCAATCCATGTGTAGAAATGAAAAGTCTTCTCGGAAATATATAATCTCACATATTGAATCCCTTTTAGACTAGTCGATCTATCTACAGCTCCAAATTCAGCTAACCGAAAGGAACTCCTGAGCGAGTTGGGTTGTCCGTTGTTACACCTGGATGTCAGGCAATACAGTATTGCCTAGGGCTGAAGTGTGGCCTAATTTACTAGGCGTAAACTATTCAGCAGCAGCTGTGAGGATTGCCCTAGGCACCCAGACGAAGGCCGTCGACATTTTGTCATGTGACTTACAAGTAAGTCACCTTAAGGGTTCAGTGACAAAAAAAATAAATAGCAAAGGATCTCTAGGAAAAGAAACGGTACACGCCTTCTTGAAAAAGCTATTGGTATCTTGGACAAGGATGTCGGTCAGGGAATTAAAATAAAAACGTTCAGCTTAGACAGAATGGCTGGAATAGATTACTTACGTCAAAAGGCATGTGAAGATTCTGCTAATGTGGAAATCCGTTTGTCAGCTTTACATGAGAAAACGTGGTCCCATCTGATGACTTAGGCAAACGCTACGGCTAAATGATCGAACTCAATATGTTTGAGTGGATGGTTAGCATATGGTATAGGCTTTAAAAGACTGCTCATTTCTTATACAAGT